ACTTAAGGTGGGCCACCACATAATCCATGCTTCGATAAGCCAACCAAATAAACAATTAGATCCTTTCCTATCCTCTCGAGCTGAAACATTGAATGAAGAATCCATACTTTGTTGTTATTGTTGTTGTTGTTATGTGCCATGGAGTTGAACCCGACTCACAGCCACCCTTCCTTGGGTTTCCAAGGCAGTATCATTACGGAAATAGATTACCCAAACTTTCTTCCGAGGAGAGCTCCTAATCCATACTTGTTGTTGTTGTTGTTGTTGTTACTTGCCATCGAGTCGGCCCCGACTCATAGCGACCCCTCCTTGGGTTTCTGAGGCACTATCACTACGGAAGTAGGAATTCCCAGCCTTCCTTGCGAGGAGTAGCTGGTGAGTTTGAACAGCCAGCCTTCTGGTTATCAATCCATACTTAGTGGGCCCAAATCAATATACTTAGATTTATCCAATGTTACATTCCCTGCGCCACTATCCCACACTCTCAGTAGCCATTCCTGCACATATTCTCTAGGTTTCTGTCTGTACATTTTAGCAAAATCAAGTAAGTCTTTTCAGGTTTAGTGGACCATTTCCTCAGTCACACTTTGTGTTTCACCTTTTGGGGCTCGCTTGGACTTAAGTTTAGTTATAGGTCTAGCAGCCACAATAGGTGGTTGGGGAAGTTCCTGAGAATATTCAGGAATGTCTTCCATGGCATCTACCTCAGGCAATGACCCAGCAGGAACAGTTGGATCAATCCCATCAAATGGAGGTGGAAGGGATAATGGTTTTATAGTAATCCCTTTAGATGGGAGGGCTGGTGCTGTTGGCAGGAGGGATTCAACAGAATTTACAGGCTTCATATCCACATCTTCCTGTCTGCCCATATGTTCCCTTTCCAGGTTTCAAGATCCCATTTTTTCCCAATCAATGCCCTCACTTTAACTTCAGATACCATTCTGGGTTGATGATTCAATTAGCGTTGTAATTCAGCCACCCTTACAATAAGACTCTGAATTTGGTTTTCAGCAATACCAGCTCTGTTACTAGAAGAAATAAGGCTTTCTTTCAGGGCACAAATGGAAACATTGAGGTCTTCTATGCAGGGCTTGAGCTGTGACTCAGCAGCACTGAACTCATCTCGCTCTTTCACCACTTTGTCTAGCATAAGGAAGACCAGCCAATCAGCTTCCTTATACTCCTCATGCTGACAAAATTGCAAAACGTATCAAACGTATGATCACCCAGAGCCTCACTTCTCAAAAATACTTGATCTATCAGTGGTGCTATTTTGTGTATTAATGTTGCCACCTCATGCCATGGATTAGCAGGGCCCTGTTTACTAATGGAGGCAGAGTCACTAGGGCCTTTATCATTAACCAAATTGGAGAACCAAAACAGAATTGGCGAGAACCAACTTAAGAAACCCATCCTTATGATTTTGTCTCTCTAGAACCACTCCCAGGAGTTCTGGTAGCGTAGTTCCTAAGGCACTTGACTGGTAACCAGAAAACTGGTGGTTCAAATCCACCAGCCACTCCTTGAAAGGAAGGTTGGGCAATCTACTTTCACAGTGATACCACCTTGGAAATCCAAGGAGGGGTCACTATGAGTCGGGTCTGACTTGATGGCACGTAACAACAACAGAACCACTCCCGGTACCAAATGTGTTAGGCTGGGTTCTCTAGAGAAATAAAACAAATAAAGCTTATATAGAGGGAGTGAGAGAGAAATTTATCTTAGGAAAATGGCTCACACACTTATAGAATCTGGCAATTCCCAAGTTCGTGGATCAAACGTCAAACTGGAAGCTATTCCCAACTCACGCAGCTGCAGAGGGTGACGAGCTCAAGGTTGTCAGGCAGTATACTAGCTGTTGACTTCGACAGATGACAAATCCAATATCTCCAGGCTAAATGGTGGATTGTTTGCTCACGGAGAGTTGTAGGCAGCACAACAGGATCCAGATCCACAGAAGAGTTTCTCATTTTCCCAGGATGTCCGTCTATATATTGGAAGTAAGCCACACTCCTAGGGAAATGCCCTTTCAATGAATTGGCTACTCAAAACACACACATGCGATCTCATCACGGGAATAACCACATCACAACTGCTTAAACAACTTAGAATCGTGGTCAAACCAAGTTGACACACAACCCCAACTATCACAGCTAGCAACAAACTCTCAGTTTCTTTCACCTGAGAATGTCTTTATTTCCTTCTGATGGATACTTTTGCTAGATATGGAATTCTGGGGTGACCACTATTACCTTTCAGCACTTGAAAACCATTCTGCCATTTCCTTCTGGTTTCCATGGTTTCTGATGAGAAATCTGCTGTCACTCAACTGGTTTTCTCCCATATGTAAGGTGTCATTTCTCTTTGGCTGCTCTCAAGATTTTTTGTTTTGTTTTGTCTATTTGTCTCTAGTTTTAGACTTTGACTATGATTTGTCATGATGTAAATTTCTATGTTTATCCTGCTTGGAGTTCATTCAACTTCTTGAATTTGTGGGCATATGTCTGGCCAAATTTGGAGAGTTTTCACCAATTATTTCTTTGAGTACTTTTTCAGTCCCATCCTCCTTCTCCTCTCCTTCTAGGACTCGGATGATAGGAAGGTTAGTCCTTTTGTTAGTGTCCTACAGTTCTTAAGGCTTTGTTCAATTATTTTTTTAGTCTAGTTTCTCTCTGCTGTTCAGATTGCATAATTCATATTGTTCTATTTTCAAGCTGTCTGATTCTTTTTTTCTGTCCTTTCTATTCTGTTGTTGAGCCCATTCACTGAGTTTTTTAGTGTTGGATTGTTTGTTATAGCATATTTCAGTAGTAAATGTTCCCTGCTTGTTCTTTATGCTTTATATTTTTGATACTTTCTATTTGTTGAGATTTTCTAGTTTATTATTATTATCACTATTTGTTTTAAGCATGTTTAATTGCTCTGTGAAGCATTTTATGTGGCTGCTTTAAAATATTTGCCATTAGTGTTAGCATCAGTTGATTGTCTTTTCTCATTCAAGTTGAGAAATTCCTGGTCCTTGGTATGGTGAGTAAGTTTCAGTTAAAACCTAGATGTTTGGGATATTATGTTATGCTACTCTAGATCTTATTTTTATCTATCCCCTGTTTTAGCAGGCCTCCTCCGATACTCTCCTCATGGGGAGAGGGGCATTACCCCTTTACTGCTAGTTGGGGGTAGAATTTCAGGTTCTCCAATGGGTCTCTGGTTGATGTACAGGTGAGAGTGCGGTTCCTTGTTATTGCTGGGCAGTGATAGGAGTTCAGCCTTTCTGGCAGACCCCTGCTGAACTCTTCCTAGCTAACAGAGGAAATAATACCAGAGGTTACTACTTGTGAAGGTCAAAATCATATTTCCCCAAGTAGGCTCCACTGAGAGGGGGAAGGGTCTCTTTACATCAAGGATGAAAGTCTTTGTTCCCGCTCATATTTCTCTGCAGGGGGAACATCTCTAAAGCCCAGTGAGAGTGGAAGTCTAGACTCTCCACTGGAAGCCCTAAGCTTCTTATTAGCTATATGGTTATTATGAGAACTGGCTTTCTCCTGCACCAAAATATCTCACTCCTTATATCCTGATACTTTGGCACACACACAAAAAAATTGCAACATACTCCCCACCTCCCCTCTTTATAACCTTCCCTCAGCCCTTCCACAATACAGAGTAGGGGGAGGTAGACATCTTCAGGCAGACTTATTAGGTTCCTGTCACATAAAGCATTTTCAAGGAGTGTGGCTCTGGGCAAGTCACCTATAGTCTCTAAGCATCCATTATCCCAGCTGCAAGAGAGGACAGAAGATCTCACCTCTCAGGGGTGAATAAATGATTTATCTTCCTTTTCCTCCTGTGCAAAAGGAGGAAACCCTGCAGAAGACAAAAAGCCACCACCAGACAATTCACCACCACCACCAGACATTTCACCACCAGAGATTCACCGAGACATTTCAAGAGTTAAATCTCACAGTCTGTCTTGTTTTGTTATGAATACTTGGCATTCCCTCCATCACCCCTTTCCCCTTTTTTACCATACTAGGTTCCTGGAAAACACTCCACGGAGATGGCCGACCCAGTCGCCACCAGAATAAGGATGGGAATGGGGCGGAGGCTCCGCAGTGGCAGAGGGGAGGAGAAGGAAGCCCAGGCAGTCGGTCTGCCCAGATGCTGTTGTATTCTGAGCAAGAAGAACACCATAACCGCTCCAAAGAGCTCTTAGAGCAACCAGGATGGGGATGCTGGCAGCCCCCACCTCTCCAGCTCACCCTTCACCTCAGGCATCAAAAAGCAGCTCCTGAGATCCCACCTTTAGCATAACAGCCGCCTTCCCAGTCCCCAAAAGCCTCCAACTACCTCCCTTCCGGAGGGCAAGATAGGAGAGGACAAAAAAGTGGTGAGTGAAAGCAAAACACACACACCCGCTCTCCCAACCCCAGCCCCGGTGATTCCTCAGCACCCTCAGGCCCGCAGCCCCTGGCAGCCGCTACCAACCCAGATGCATCTGTGTGACGCGGCACTCAAAAAGCTCTTCCAAGTTCCAGGTCCTGAAGATGAACTTAAGACTGAAAAATAAAGCTCGACTCCCACAGTGCAAGGATTCAAAGACATCATGGGGCCAACAAGTACTTGTTTTTGTTTTTGGTTAAAAAAAAAAATGCATCCTAAAATTCTGTCCCTGACCCTCACCGCAAAAAAAAAAAAAAAAAAAAAAAAAGCTGTCTTGAAACCAGCTCCGCGTGCTCCCATCTGGGCTTTCTCCGCCACATCTGGTCAAAGGTAAACCATCTCTCTCTCTCTCTCACCACTATAGTCTCAATTTCCACCGCCCTCCCCTGCCTCCATCCTCGCTTCACCCTGAAGTTCTGGGTCAATGAGCGCCTTTCCCGTACCCCGCCCCCGCAAGTAGTCTAACAACGAATACTTTCCTTTAGGTTACTCAACCTCCTCCCTTGGCGAAGGATACTAGGGAGTGAGAAGGAGGGTCAAGGGCTTTGGAAAGTGCCACTTACCTGATCTCTTTAATGCTTTCCAATTTGCACATGATTTCTTGTTCATCAGCCATGCTTTTCACTCTCAACTTCAGGTCCCAAGAAATGTACAAAAACACCAGCTAAGGGATACAATAGACATTACGTAGCCACCTCCTCTGGGCACGGAGCTCTGAGCCTGTGCGGTAGGAACTTGGAGAAGGCCTGGGAGCTGTAGTCCGGAGCTCCAGGGCCAGCTAGGCAGGCCTGGAGCCTTCAGGACTACAACTCCCAGAAGGCCAAGCGAGACAAGTCGGCTTCTATTTCTGTAGTTGCACGTAAATCAATTTGTCTTAGATAAGTCTATCCAAGGTAGTGAGCAATGCAAGGGAATGGGGATATTCGTCTGGCCCATATGCTAAAAGCAGGGGGGAAAAAAAACCTCCGGAGGCAAATAGGGAGATAGAAGCAAACCCATTCACATCTTCCCGGAGGCTCTCGCTCTTACTCACCCCTCAGAAGCTTAGCGGGTGTTGATAATTTGTCTATGCCTTGAGACCAGAGAAAATGCCTACAGGAGAATTCGCTTCTGAGGTGTGGAGTGTTCTGGCTGCTGTCTTTGGTATTCAGATCAGGGTGCGGCGGGGGAGGGGAAGAGGAGAGCAGGCTGCAAAAGCTGGGGAAAACAGAGGGGGGACGGACTTCTTTCCAGCTACCCATCCATTCGACAGTTATTGACCTCTTGTTTTGCCAGTCAATGAGCGAAGTTCTGAGGGAGGCAAAGATAAATAAAATTAATTTCTTGCTTTTAAGGAGTAGGAGAGACCAAAAGAAAAAAAAAGGCAAAACAAAACCTTGCCCTCAGATCCTTTCGGATTCCTAGTGACACTATAAGGAGCTCTGGTAGCATAGTGCCTAAGGCACTTGA